CTTCTCTGATTGGCCCAGGTAAAATAAACTACAAGCAGACACTGCGCAGAAAATTTACATTCTCTTCTCTGATTGGCCCGGCTAAAAATCTGCCAGTGAAATCCATCAATGGGAGAAGTCCCAGACGGAGCAGTGAAGGGAAACTAGAATTGAGCGGAGCTGCGTAGGAAGACAAGAGCCAGGCTAACTTTAAAAGTAGAATAAATTAAAACTTCAGTGGCTGCTGAAGTGAACAGAAAGCAGGCCCAGCTAAAATTAGGCAACAAAATAATGCATGGTCTAGACCAGTGGTTTCCAAAGTTGGGGTCGGGACCCCACTGTGGGCCGTGAAACATCAAGGTGGGGTCTCGAAAGACTTTTCACAATCTTTTCGCCTCAGTAGTTACAAAAGAGTGAGGTTAAGTTAGCATTACTGTGCTCATGTTCATTTGACCTGATAATGTTTTTCAACCAAAAACAGTTGGGAGAACAGCTCTCATATGTTATGATGTGGACCAAAAGCTGAAACGTTTGAGAACCACTGGTCTAGAGCAAAGATCAGCAATTTAAAAAAAAGATTACTGGTAGATGCTTAAAATTTGTCTGCGTGGTCGTTTAGCTGAAATCACAATAGAAAACGTGCCTATTTTGTTACAATTTTCATGCAGATTTAAGTCACCAACCAGTCTCCATGGTGCTACATGTCTCCTGGTGTCTGGGGCTGCTGCCATTTCCCACAATGCAATTTTCTGTAAAACAGTTCAATCCACACATGATGGCATTTCAGTTAGATGTTTTCATGGCTGCTCCTCACTAAAGATTTATTTTTTATTTCTATATTTAGTCAGACTTTCCAGAACCTGAAAAAATAAACAGAGGAGTTAGTTGTTTATAGTAAATGATGTTGGTGAATATGTGCCCACTGCACCAGACCCTGACGGGCTTCATCCGCATCTCCCCCACCTCCTCCTCCACCGCCCCGGTACCGTTCAAGGTCCGGACAGACACGGACCAGCCTGACGGGTCCCTGCAGCCATGAACCCCAGGGAGGCTGCTCTCCGTGYCCCTGAGGCCGGATGATGAAGCAGGACTGAGCCTGTTTCCTCTGAAAGCCTGCAGCCGGTGGGAGCTGTCACAGCCGTGTTTATTTAAGCTAGCTGTCCACACCGACTGTCAAACTCAGAACAAACCGCTTGTGTTCGCTTTTAAACCTCCGAACAGCGCGTGGTGACTCGTTTTTATCACAAGCGCTAAAATCAATAAAACACCAGCCTGCTAGCAACATTAAAAAAACACGAGCTCAGCCCGTTTCATCCCCTAATTATTCCATTAAATGTCAGGCTTGTCTTCAAACACGAACTCACCCTCCGAGCAGCCAGAGCCTGAGCGCGTCTCTCCTCGGTCCGCTGCCTCCGAGTCCACAAAGAAACGAGACAAGAAATCCTCAGATGAACAGATGAGCTCGAGATTTATCTCCTCATTGCGGCGCAGTCGAAGCGACTCCAGACTGAAGCTGCGCGCGCAGCACAGCGCCCCTCCCCCTCCCC